CGCACAGTCACGACTGGGCACGCACATGTAACCTGCTCACGGCAGCGCCCAGCAGGCTTTCCCAAATGCAGTGCTGTGGACATTTGGACCAGACGATTCTTTCTGCTGGAGGCTCCCCGTGGACCGTGGTCCCACCCTGGTCTCTACCCATTGCACGCCACAGTCAGCACCACCTCTTGGCTGTGGCGACCCAATCCATCTCCAGACAGCTACATGTTCCCTGAGTGTCAAAATCACCGCCGGTGGGGACACTGTACCCCCACCCTCCACCTTGTCCACCCCACATAAACCTCTAGAGCAGTCCCTCCAGAGCCAGGCTGCCCAAACCTAAGGGCCTCTTTCCACAGTCTCCCCCTTCCCACCTGACGACAAAGGGCTCCTCCCAGGGGCTCCAGTCTCCCCTGCAGCGGTGACCTCGGTCCCTGGAATCCAGTTATTCCAGGTCACCGTGCTGACAGGTCTTCTCTGCCCCTCACTTACAGTGTGCATTTGCGCGCCTACTGTACGCTCCACGCTGGGCACGGGGGACGAAGAGATCAGTCTCTGTGATCTCCAGCAGGTTAGCCTCCTGGGGGAGACGCAGGTGACAGCAAACACCTGTCTGCCTTCGGGGGAGTGTCTGGAGGGTGCTGTAGGCAGGGTACTAGAAGGAGGGAATTCACTCCTCACTCTGAGGGTGGCCATAGGGTGATGACCCCAGGATGGAGCCAAGAGGATGTGCTCGCTTAGAGCGTCCTCAAGGACAAATCTGAAGGAGCTAAGGGGAGAATGGATAAGGTGTGCCAGGCAGAGGGAGTAGGGTATCTAGAAGCGAGGGTGGACATAGAGAACAGACATGTGGACACGGGCGGGAGGGAGAGGCTGGGACAAATCAGGAGAGTGCTATCGACATATACACACTACGACATGTACAACAGGACTTCCCAGGTGGCCCAGATGGTACAGAATCTGCCTGCCACGCAGGAGACCGGAGTTCGATCCCTGGGTCGGGAAGATACCCTGCAGAAGGGAAAGGTGATCCATTCCAGGATTCCTGCCTGGGAAATCTCTTGGACAGAGGATCCTGGCGGGCTACGGTCCATGGGGGTCACAAAGAGTTGGACACGACTGAGCGACTAACTTCATACACGCATAAAAGAGACAGCCAGCGGAAGCTGCTCGGCCACACGGGGAGCTCAGCCCGGGGCCCTGTGATGACCGAGACGGGTGCGGGGACGTCCAGCGGGGAGGGGGTACGTGTGTGCATATGGCTGATTCACTTTATGTGCAGCAGAAACTAACGCAGCATTGTAAAGCAATTATACTCCAATAAAAAAATAAGCGAAGGCCAGATTTTTATTATTAGATTATCATATAATGTTACAAACATCTTATTTTTAGGATTATTCTGCATTCAGTCCCCATTGAGTATGACTCACTTCTATTTTTAAATTGGTCTCAATGTGTATTCGAAGTTTTTTTAATTTAAATTTTTTCTCCTTCATTATATTCTTATTTTCGGTTTATGACTTGGTCAGTTGTTATACAAACTATTAATTTCCTCAAGAAAGGCACAGATTGGAATCCACGAACACTGCACATCTGTAGGAAATAATCAGGGCTTTCCTGCAAACATGAATTAGGGCAGCCATAGAAGTTTGGATTTATTTTTTCTTAAAAAGCAGGGACGGAGCAATCCCGGCTTCCGGCTGCAGCACCTGGAATGGTAACACAGCATGAGAATCTGAGTTGCAGGGAAGCAGGCCCCAGGCCCCAAGGAGCCTATTACACCCAGCTTGAGAGTTTGGCTTCGGCCTCGAAGGTGACAAGAAGCTGGGGGAGACTGCCTTGAGTGCTTGTATTCGAGACTGCCTTGTATTCTAGAAAGATCTGAAGCACAGAAAATTTTAAAGACGAAGAATTCAAAGTAAGAGCACAGGCCACTGGAACAGAAACACCTGATGTCCTGCACGCTCACCGCCAAGGGCGGGGTCCTCCTCACAGGAGCACATCCACAAACTCCCAGAAGAGGAGCAGCTCTCCACTGCACGGATGTAGGAATACAACCTCCTCCTCCACCCAGGAGGGAGCTGGAGGGAGCCTCTTACCACTTGCACAAGAGGAGAACTTCTCCTTTGGGACTCCAAGCCTTTGCAGAGAGGCTGAGTTCCCTGTGGAAATTCAAAGTGTGTTTTTCCCAGGAAGAAAAAACGATATACGTTGCCAACTGTAAATCATATTGACGGGACTCGGCTCCAAGTTACGCGGCAGCCTGGGTGGGAGGGGAGTTTGGGGGGGAATGCACGCAGGTATGCGGCTGACCGGGTCCCTTTCCCGTGCACCAGAAACTGTCACAACACTGGGATCCGCTACACTTCAACACAAAACAAAAGGTTTAAAAAATATATATGGTTCAATTTATGGTCAAAGGTAATCAACCCTGAATATTCATTGGAAGGACTGATGCTGAAGCTGAAGCTCCAATACTTTGGCCATCTGATGAGTAGAGCTGACTCACTGGGAAAGCCCCTGATGCTGGGAAAGAATGAAGGCAGGAGGAGGAGNAGCGGGCAATAGAGGGTGAGATGATTGGATGGCATCACCGACTCAATGGACATGAGTTCGAGCAAACTCCGGGAGATGGTGGAGGACAGGGAGGCCTGGCATGCTGCCGTTCATGGGGTCACAAAGAGTCGGACATGACTGAGCGACTGAACAAGAACAAAAGGTCAAAGGTGGCATAGGTGTGTGCATGTGTGTGTGCGCACTGGTTATTAAACACATCACTGTCTCTATAGGAATATGAATGGAGACTGACCTGCGGCACATAAGCCACTTGCTGTGAACGCTGCACGCCTACGCAGAGAAGGTCCAAGCACACCTACTGCAGCAAAACGCCCCAGACACGGTGTGATTCGAGTTCTTCAGGAAAGACGGGAGTCTGGGGCAATTCAAGAGACAGCAGTGCTGCTGACCACACAAAATGCAAATGTTAGTGAGTTCAGGCCCGTGGCTGCTCCTCCATCAATGCTTGGAAAAGTGAACTGGATGCACTGAAACGGATCTCCATGCCCACGTTGTTTCCTACTTAAATGAAACTTAAGGGGGAAAATGCTGGTTCAATAAGCCTCAGATTGTACGTGCAAGAAAGGGAGGAATACACAGCATGGATTTGCTCAGAAAGATAGTGAAAGAAAGGAAAACAGCAAGTCTTTGGATCTGGGCTCATGGGACCAAGAGCCTTCCTTTTAGAGCCAGAAGCTAATATGAACATGAGGTGACCTTGATTAATTCTCATTCAAGTCAGCAGAGGGGATCAACTTAAGTAAACTGATGTTAGCTCCATGACCTACTGCATATTTCTTTTAAGAGCTGATTCGTAACTGAAACATGGTGGCCTTCTTCCCTCTGATTCATCCATTACTCAGAAGGCCCTGGCTTCTTAGAATTCTTAATAAAATTCCAATAGTTTTCGTCAGCGGTCATCAAACACAGCTGAACCCTCTTTCAAAGTGCCTCTTTTTGCCTTTTGCTACCAACCTGACCTATCTCTAGCTTCTCCTGGTTTCAACTCATCTTGATCGTTGAGGGCATCTTTACCTTCTTAAAACAAAGCTTTGATTCAGTTACATCCCTTTCCAAAGCCCTTTCACCAGCACCCAATAGCTGCAGAATAAAACCCAAGCCTCTGGCCCGACTTTAAGAGCCCCCACTGTGAATCCCACCCACTCCCACGTCCGCATGCAGTGTAGACAGGCTTCCTTGCTCTCTCCTAAACCGGGCTTCCTCAGATGGCCACCCCGCTTCCCCGACGGCTCAGCCGGGAAAGAGTCTGTCTGCAGTATAGGAGACACAGAAGAGGCCGGTTCGATCTCTGGGTGGGGAAGATCCCCTGGAGGCGGGCAAGGCAACCCACGCCAGTATTCTTGCCTGGAGAATCCCCTGGACAGAGGAGCCTGGCGGGCTGCAGCCCATGGGGTCTCAGTTTGAGACGTGACTGAGCACACACGCAGATGTCCACTATGCTTGCTCACGCCTCAGCAGGTTTCCACGCTCAGTCCCACCCTCTACCTGAAAAGCACCTTTCTGAGTCTGGTCCACTCAGTGAGGAGGTCTGAGCTCAGTTCAGCCCAGGTCCCCTCCATCCCTTGCAAGGAATGTCCCAAGCCTGCCTGCTTCCCTGAGGGGCGACACCTCTGCCCACCTGCTGTGCAGCTCCTAGCCATGAGCATTACCAACTGACCCCAGGTCCTGGAGAGGGCCTGGCACACTCCAGGGGTTCAACAAAACTCGGTAAATTCTGCTGAACAAATGCGAGACATCTGACTGTCAGTACAGCATGACCACCCACTTTCTCCCTGAGGCCAGGGGACTTTCCTAGCCCCCTCCAGGTGAGAAACAACATCTAAACAATTTAACTCTGATAAAGTGGGCTTTGACCCACAAAAAGCAGAACTTCCTCCTGAGAACTCCCCATCCCTCCGCCTTTACCCCGCCTCAGCACTGAATTTCAGATTCCCCAAAGCGACCTGGATCTCTGCTTACTAAATAAAACTTTGCATCTTCCTGCAGCCACCTCCCCCTGGCCAAATCACCAGAGAATTCTCCAGGCAAGAAAAAGCTTTTTAAAAAAAGGACGTTTGAAGTGGGGGAAAGGAAACATCTACAGTGCGGAGCCGTCCAACTGGTACTGCCCTGCAAACACGTGAACCCCGAAACTGCCTTTCTGAGCCGGCCGAGTGGTTTTCAGCCAAACCAGTGTTTTTTAGCTGCTGTTTCGGGAGGTTTTGGAGAACACAGATGCCCGCTCCCCTTGGCCTTGCCCTGATTCTCCCATCACCGGGCACCGAGTGCGTGCCCGACTTGTTTACCTGGACGCAAGCTCGGCCGCCCCCAATCTTCCCGCGCAGCGACCCGCGAGACCACGTGTCCTGAAGTCAGGGCCCCGCGGACTCCGCGAGGAACTACACTTCCCAGCGGCCCCCGCGCCCTTCGCAGGAAGGACGTCTGCGCACTAAGATACTCAGTTCCAAGTTTGGAGCTTTTAGCTGCCAGCCCTGGCCCATCATGTAGCTGCAGCACAGCCTTCCCTAACGTTGCAACTGGGGGAAAAATCACTTTCCAGTCTGCTTTGCAAGGTGTGCATTTCCATCTGGATCCCCTGGAAGTCCATCTGCTGCCTCGGTCAAGAGAAACTCCACTTGCATGAAGATTGCACGCCTGCAGCTTGCATCTTTGTTGCAAAACTAGCTACAGAAGAGAAGCAAGGCAAAGTCTTTTGTGCTCCCCTCCCCCATCAAAGGAAAGGGGAAAATGTCTCAGTCGAAAGGTAAGAGCCTATTTGCATTACTTGCAAAAAATGCAAAGGGTTGTGCATGCATTTATGAATGCATGGATGCAATTTACGCCTGGCGATTGCATTTTTAAGTTTGAGGTTTTCCACAGCTCAGTTGCATTTCCTGTTTAGTATGTGTCTTTTTTTTTTTTTTTTTGCAGACACAGAGAGTTCCTGTAAGGCAGGGCTTGCAGTTCAGCTGTGCATTGACGTTATTTGCATTCTTCTGCTAGGATTGCTGAGCTCTTTTTTGCCTTTTGCCCAGTCAGGAGAGATAGAGCAGGTTGGTAGCGTCTGAATGTGCAATGCTTTATATAATTGTAAAATTCTGTAGTATGCACAGATATAATAGGTAATCTTATGTGCAACAGGAATCCGAACTTTTAAAAAGTCGGTAGATGAAGATGAAAGGTAAAACTTGAGTTCAACTAGTAGGAAATTAATGTAATCTTATATTCCTTTGGGAATGAACCGTTGCGGTGCTAGTATTTAGCTAAATTTCCATTGATATCGCTCTGAACATTAAGCAACTTTTGATTTTTAAAGGAAGTAAAGGTGAGTGATAGCATTTTACAAAAAAAGCAGACAAGACGTCTTTCTCTTCCGAGATTTTGCACTTTACGCTAATTGCTTATTGGTTCACAGTGTTTAGAAGCAGCAATAAGGACATCGATGTTTTATGTTTTCCCATTTGGGAGATGCTTTGCATCTCCAGGGAAAATATTGGGAGAAAAACTGTACCTCTAAGCTTTACACCAAGGTGGGGGGACTGCACGGTTTCATTGACAACCATAATGAAATCTTATAAGTGTGTAATTGCCTATATTTAGAATAGGTCAGAAGTTCAGGGTTATGGTTGTTTTATGGGTTTTTTTTTTCTTGAAAAATTTTTTTTTTTTTTTTTACACAGTTGTATTTTACAGACCTAATGTCAGACTGGGGGATTAAAAATATAGAGATCCTGACGTGACATTATAGAGCTGAGGGTGTGTTGTCAGGTGGCCTTGAGACTGTGACTTGTTTCAGAACAGATCCTGTTGAGCGTGGGGAAAGCACATGCCCTTCGAGAATGTATGGAGGGGAGGGGTGGGCGCCAGGGAGGGGAGGGGGCTCCGCAGGGTGAGTAAGTAAGTCCCAGGGAGTTCAAGTGTCTCCCATGCGTCCTGCTACTCTTTGGGGGAGCTGTGTGATGGGAGTGGGGTCAGGTCATACCTCTCAGCTCAGGAAAGGAAGTAGCATATATTCTCAAAAATTCAAAGTAAGGCTCTTTCTTTTCTCTGGGTATTGGGGGAAAATGCAAATCTGAAAAGCTAAGAGCACCCAAGTACCTAGGAACTGGCATTGTGAAGTGCCTGTATTCCTTAATATCGGTAAAACCTGTGAATACAGTCTCCTAATTGAGCAGAGAAATCATAGCTTAGAAGGGCATTCCAGGCTTTGATGTATGAGAGAGATGGCATCTGGTTACTCTGTATTTGCTGTATATTCACTCATGCATTTAGGTCATTTTAATAAATGAGTGGATACATGGTGATAGCTGTGTATCTGTGTATATGTGTGTGTGTTTGGCACAGGATTTGGGGACATATAAAAATATTTCATATGTAAGTGTTTCATTCAAGGAGTTTACTTGTGTTTGGTGAAACAGAGCATGTATACAAATTATTGTGATGCAAGATACTTGCTTAGATCATGACAGGAAATGGTGCATTTGTAATTTAGAGATGGCAGTGGGCTTCTCCTCTCTGGGAGACAAGAAGGTGGGGCTCTAGTGAGCTTATCTTTGGACCTTAGGGTTTAAACTCAATTATGTTCCTTCGTGCATTTTGGGGGCAGCTCCCTCCTAGCAGAGGAAGTTGGGAAGCTGACAGAGAAGTTAGCATGACCCTCTTCCATGATGGGTGCTCCCATAATACACCACGTGCTGGCAATCCTTCACATGGATCCCTGTTTATCCAAGTGGTTGTCTTAATTGGATCCCATGTGGAAGGTGCCTCTGGTGTGAACGTGGGATTCCTGGGTGTGTTGTCAGGTGGCCTTGAGACTGTGACTTGTTTCCGAACAGATCCTGTTGAGCGTGGGGAAAGCACATGCCCTTCGAGAATGTATGGAGGGGAGGGGTGGGCGCCAGGGAGGGGAGGGGGCTCCGCAGGGTGAGTAAGTAAGTCCCAGGGAGTTCAAGTGTCTCCCATGCGTCCTGCTACTCTTTGGGGGAGCTGTGTGATGGGAGTGGGGTCAGGTCATACCTCTCAGCTCAGGAAAGGAAGTAGCATATATTCTCAAAAATTCAAAGTAAGGCTCTTTCTTTTCTCTGGGTATTGGGGGAAAATGCAAATCTGAAAAGCTAAGAGCACCCAAGTACCTAGGAACTGGCATTGTGAAGTGCCTGTATTCCTTAATATCGGTAAAACCTGTGAATACAGTCTCCTAATTGAGCAGAGAAATCATAGCTTAGAAGGGCATTCCAGGCTTTGATGTATGAGAGAGATGGCATCTGGTTACTCTGTATTTGCTGTATATTCACTCATGCATTTAGGTCATTTTAATAAATGAGTGGATACATGGTGATAGCTGTGTATCTGTGTATATGTGTGTGTGTTTGGCACAGGATTTGGGGACATATAAAAATATTTCATATGTAAGTGTTTCATTCAAGGAGTTTACTTGTGTTTGGTGAAACAGAGCATGTATACAAATTATTGTGATGCAAGATACTTGCTTAGATCATGACAGGAAATGGTGCATTTGTAATTTAGAGATGGCAGTGGGCTTCTCCTCTCTGGGAGACAAGAAGGTGGGGCTCTAGTGAGCTTATCTTTGGACCTTAGGGTTTAAACTCAATTATGTTTCTTCGTGCATTTTGGGGGCAGCTCCCTCCTAGCAGAGGAAGTTGGGAAGCTGACAGAGAAGTTAGCATGACCCTCTTCCATGATGGGTGCTCCCATAATACACCACGTGCTGGCAATCCTTCACATGGATCCCTGTTTATCCAAGTGGTTGTCTTAATTGGATCCCATGTGGAAGGTGCCTCTGGTGTGAACGTGGGATTCCTGTCCAAATGAAAACTTTTTGATGGAAGGAAGTGTGTGATCATTGCAGAAATGGCAGAGACTTCTGGCCTAGACTTTTCAGTGTGGACCTGGTCTAATTCAGCTACGGTATTCTCAAATGGCCAAGATTTTTTTTTTTTCCTCGCAGTACCAAACTTCTTTGTAATACTATAACCAAATGAAATGAAGGAAAAGCAAAAGGTGGCTACAACCTCATAGTATTGAAGAATTTAACAACATGTTCAATTCAAGGACCTTTACGAACCTTCTAGATCACTGTAATTCAGTTTTTCAGACCTCTAATTTAAGGCACAGCAGAGGCAAAAGAATTACAGACTCCCTGGGAGCTGGGAGGGCTGGCTTACTCCTCTCCAGCCTCACCAACAGTGAGATTCCCAGAAAGAATTTCTTAAAAAGAAATTTTGTTTTCCACAGTTGTAACTTTAGGTGGTAGGCTTTTCAGCTTGTTTATATTAGCTGTCTGGGGTTGAGCTGACATTTTTCAAATATTAAAGTGGCAGAATGCCTTTTGAGGAAATCTGAAATGTAAGTTAACAGGAAGGGCACCCAGAGAGTGCAGGAATTCCTGCACTTTACCGGAAGACAGGCTACAGGAAAATGTGTCATCTACATTACCCCAGAGAGTACAACTATTGTTATCAGCCACAATGATCTGAGGGGGGGACAGCCAGAGGGAGGGAGTCTGGCATCCCCCCGTTCACCTGAAAAGAGAGAAAAAGTTGGACCCTGTTACCAAGGCACTTTTCTCGCTCCTCCCTCCACTCACCTTTAAAAAATATTAGTTTGTCTTTGTTTAAAATAGTGGTAGGTACGTTGTGTCACGGGGACTGTGCATCAGGCACAGTTGAGAAGCCTGCAGCGGAGACTGACAGGCAAGGATTGTCAAAGGACCCAGCCCTACTGTGGGTTTTTTGCTTCTGAAATTCATGCCAGCCTGGGAAGTGAAAAGTGTACATTTCTCATTCTGTAAATTCCTTTGTTAGGTTGTACCCGAGAGACTTGTCATGCTTAGCCTGTAATCTGAGCCAGTCTGTTTTATAACCTCGTACATCTCAGGACATAAAAATCAGAAGAGGTGGCCTGGGCTTCCTGAGTTTGTTTTGTATCCATGTGGCATTCACGACTTTACAACATGCAGGTCAGCAGCAGGGGCTTCCCCGGGGGTCTCTGGACGGTAAATCCGATGCTGGAGGAAAGGGTTGAGATTCTTGTTCCTTTGTTTTTCACAGATTAGTATCATTATAACTGCTTTACATTATTATAAAGTTTGAAGGGTCTATAAGGAGTATTTTTAAAACTTAGGAAAGTGCCTAAGTGATACTTTATTGTAGAAATACTTGAAATTGTAGGAAAGAAAAACAAGAATCATTAGTGAGGCCAGTGTACATTTTGGCCTATATCCTTCTGGACTTTTTTCCTGTCCTGATATATATGTGAATATGAATAAATACAAATGTTTATAAAATGATTCAGTTGCCTTTGGTTCACTTGCCAATAATACTATGAAATAGTCAAAGTTAATATATCGCTACATTCATAATCTAATTCTAACACTAGAATTTATTTAAATAGAACATGAATGTTTATGAGCTTTCAATGTTATAAGCATTGCTATGATAAACGTCCCAGTTTAGACATTATATATACTATGGCCTTTGGCTAAATTCCAGGACATAGAACTACAGGTTACAAATCTCTAATTCTTCCCCATGCTGCATTATTTTCTTCATCTTTTAAAAATAACTCTTTTATTACTATGAAAACAATATATACTCATTGGAAAAAAAATTCAAGCGGAAGAGAAATTCATAATGAGAAAATAAAAATCGCTGAGAGTCGCAGAGCCCGCAGCTAATTCCTGCTGACTTTTTGGGGACTCTGCATGTGAACACACGTGCTCTTTGCGCTGTATGTGGTATTCTG